CAGTCAGGCAAATTACTGCCACTTAATACTCTAGATGCATGCTAGATAGCGGTTGATGTGTGGAGTAACAGTAGTAGATGCAGGCATGAGTTGGTCTACTTGACACGGATGTGATGCCTATGTTCATGATCATTGCCTTAGATATCGTCATAACTATGCGCTTTTCTATCAATTGCTCGGCAGTAATTTGTTTACCTATAGTAATATTTGCTATCTCGAGAGAAGCCACTAGTGAAACCTATGGGCCTCGGGTCTCTTTTTCATTATATTGAATCTCGTTTATATCTTGCTAGTTTCCGATCTACTATTTTGCAATCTTTACTTTCCAATCTATAAACCAAAAATACCAAAAATATTTACTTTACCGTTTATCCATCTCTATCAGATCTCACTTTTGCAAGTGACCGTAAAGGGCTTGACAACCCCTTTATCGTGTTGGGTGCAAGTTGTTAATTGTTTGTGCAGGTATTCGGTGACTTGTGCGTCGTCTCCTACTGGATTGATACCTTGGTTCTCAAAACTGAGGGAAATACTTACACTACTTTGCCGCATCACCCTTTCCTCTTCAAGGGAAAACCAACGCAAGCTCAAGAGGTAGCACATCCCGTCGGCCGCCCCGTCCCACCTCTCGAACCCGGATTCGCCGGATCCAGAGAACCTCGTCGTCGAGGAGTCCCCGGTCTCCGTCTTGCGCTTCCAGACATGAGAATTGAAACCACAGCCGCGGCCACGATCGAAGCGACCAGCGCCACGGCCGTGGTGCCCCGCACCGAATCTGTCCCCTCTAATCTCAGGAACTCTATCTACTCGAGGCACATCGGGAGTAGATGGCAGGGAAGAAGAAGCAACTACTTGAGCAAACGAGCGGGCATCGCCATGGATTTTCCCCTCCCACCACGAGAAGGATTGCCGAACCCTAGATCTAGCAGGTGGTGGGGCGTCCCAGAAATGGGAGAGGCACTCATCGAGATCGAGAATGGGGGGATTGGAGCGGCGGGGCGCTTAATACCTGCCTCAGCCCCCGAAACCCTAGCGTCGCTCGCACCATGGCAGTCAGATCTCTCATCCACCACGTGGCGGCCATCGGTCTCATGGCGGACCGGTCCACACCCCAGCACCACGGTCGAGCTGTCAGGGGCGGCAGAGTGCGTCGCGCACAGGGTCCCGCGCGCCCAATCCTCTCGCGGCCCATAGCCGACACGTCGGCTCTCCCCCGGTGCTGGTGCGTTCTCGCCACGTGACGGTGCAGCCGCTCCACCGGCCGCCGCGGGCGTCGCCGGAAACCTGTCCCGAACCCTAGCAAAGTGACATGGGAAGGAGACGATACCACTGATGTCGATGAACTCACCCTCGCGAAGAAAACGAGCGTCTACTGTTCCCCCGCGATCGATTAGGAGCACGATGCAGAGGGCCTCGCGCCGGAGCCAGAGCACACGCTCCGTTAGCGAGATCCGTTGCGCCGCCGCGATGTTCGACGCTAACAGGACTCGCCAGCGCACGTCGCCCGCCATCGCCAGCGCCGCCGCGTTAGCTTTTTATCTTCAAGGATCTGTTCCTCCGTAAAACAGCTAAATAAATACAGGGGAAAATTGGGGACCAACTCGTAAAATTTCGAAGGATTTCCTTCTCGTTTTTTTTTTTTTTTTGAGAATCAGGATTTCCTTTTCGTGCGTCTATTCTTTTAGAAACCGAAACCAGGCCGCCCCCGCTGCCCGAGGAGGCACGCACCACCTGGAAGCATCTGGAGGCGTGGCACAGCAGCCGCAGAGCAGCCGTCGCCCGCAGTTACCAGCCATCACCCCGCGGCGCCGTGCACCTCGCGGCGGCGGAGCACATACGAGAGCGCGCAGTCGATCGGGAGGCGCCGCCGATGGACCCGTCCGACGTCGAGATGGAGCCCGCGGAGCATCCGTCCCAGCCCCAGCCCCAGCAGCCTCCGCCGCCGCCGCAGCCCGCGGCGGCCGGAGATGGGTGGAGCATGCTGTCCCGCGCCCGCGGCCTGCTCCAGGAGGGCCAGCCGTCCCTCGCGCTGCAGGCGGTGAGAACCCTCGCCTCACTCTCTCTGCCCTCGCCATCCCCTCTCCCCTTCCGCCTCCATTTCCTGCGCTTCGTCGCGTCTCGACCCTCACCGTGCGTGTCGGAACAGGAAATCCGCGAGGTCCGCACCCGCCATGGCTGATCACGCGATTAGAACGGACGAGGTGGGTTTTCTCTGGTTTCAGTTTCGCTTTGGATCGTCTTCTCCATGGCGTAGTCCACCTTGGGATTTCGCGCGGAGCGACAAAACAGGGGTTAGGTGGTATGATTCGTTCTAGGTCTTAGGGTTCTAGGCTTTGAGGTTTAGGGTTTGTTAGGTATGATTCGTGCTAGTAGATGTTTAGGTGTTTGGGTGGTGCCTCCCTACCTGCGCACCTCTTCTTTTCGGCTATATTCCCCTTAGGCTAGTAATGATTGTTCTGATGTTTCTCCTCCTTGAGAGGTAAAAGGGAGGAAGATTATAAAGTGATGCACACACAGGGAAATGCTTCCACTATGTTGAGTGCTCGTAGGCTCGTACATATCTGATATCTCACACCTATCAGTATTTCAACTCGCTATTTACTAATGGATTTCCATTAGCACACTGAGTAAGCTCTAGGGATGGTGTTTACAAACGTATGAGGATTGAGCTTGCAAAGTGGGGAAGTAGGACAGATGCATTGTAGCCTTACAAATCTGTTTTGGCAATCATTGTCAAGACTTCATTTCCGATTGTAATTGACATGCCGCAGTGTAGATTCGAGTGTATTCCTCATGGGCCACACAGTTACAATAGTTTCTGATAAAAAAATCTTAAAAGAGTTTTGAGTTTCCAACGCAACTGCACAGCTAGTTTTACTACTCCCTGATATGGATCGGAGTGATTATTAGTTGTTGTACTAAATCAGCGACAATTAATATGGATTGGAGGGAGTAATTAATTATTTTCTAAGTGTTTGAGTTTGCCATGCAGTTGTGTAGCTAGATATAGTAATTTTCTTAGGGTAATTGTTAGACTTAGTTTCAGTTTCATACAGTGGTGTTTTTCTGATAATTTGTTTGTGCCTGCATAGTCCTGTGTCTGCTCTTTCTGTTCCCCCTTTGTTGGTTTGCTAGTTCCTTACCTTCTTTTCTTTCATTTTCTGGTAGTAATGGGGAACCCCAAATTTCCTTACCTTCTTTTCTTTCATTTTCTGGTAGTAATGGGGAACCCCAAATAATTATCTTCTTTGATTGAGTTCAGAAATGTCGATGTTTGGAGACCTGCCATTTAATATTTATGTAAAGTTTGTTTCTTAACAAGGGTTCTTCGAATTCATATTTTCTGAGAATGAACACCAACGCTCCACCCAAAGTTTGGTGTACAACTTCAGCCAAGCATGCTTGAACTTTTGAACAGTGATTATTTCCCAGGGTTGTGTGCTCGG